CCCTCCCACACCAAGCCTGCCCCACCAGAGGCTGCCGTCATCCCCTCCGCTCGCCATGACCCCGTCCTCGTTGACAGCCAGCGTGTTGACAATGGCCCTGGGGGTGTGGGGGGTAGGGGCGGCGATAGGGATGCCGCAAAGGCCGCGCGAATAGGGAATGCTGTGCAAGCCCCGGCCTCCCTGCAGGTCGCCTGCAGTAAGGGGACCCTGCTGGGCAGACAGGCTACAGGCAGAAGCAGTGGCCCCCAGCCCGTCACCCAAGGGAGGTGGCAACCCCCAGCCGTTGTGCGCGCCCCACCTCTGCTGGCTCAGCGTGTTGTGCAAAAAGTCACCACCAGGCAGCTGGAGAGGCGCGGAACACAGCGCCAGGTGAATCGGGTCATAAGCAAGTTTTTCAGATGCGCGCACAATTGAGGGGCGGAAGGGCTGCCTGCTCATGCGCGACTGCGATACACCTCTGCTCCGCCAGCTTTAGGCTCAACGCCACACTCTGTCGACCCTCCTGCCTGCGACCTCCCACCAAGTCCCCCCCCCCACCCCTCACCTTGAACTTCTTGATGTTGTCAGCCCCCGCACTGACAAAGGTGTGCTCAGTGGGATGGCCCGCCAGAGCCCTCACACTCTGTTGCAGGCAACGCAGGAGCGCGGTGCAGATCGCACGTTGAAAAGGGCGGCGCACACCTGGAAGGCTACACCCGCGGGAGCTCACCCTCTTCCACCCCCTCCAACCCCCACCACAGAACCACAAAAATTACGTACACTCACATACTACAACACATACCACATGCCAACACACAAAGACGCTCACACGCCCATGGACACGGTACACACACACGCTCTCTTACACTCAAAGGCGCACAATTGCAAACACCAAAAGCGCTGCCCCACCCGTGCCCCTGCCGCACCTCGTCCCTGCAAAACAAACCCCTGCACCCCTCCCTGGCAGCCCTTCCCCCCACCTTTTTGTGGTAGGTGAGTGTAGCCATGGTGGCCCCCTTGCGCAGGTCCCACATCCTGATGGTGGTGTCGTGGCTGCCAGTGATGACCTGGGGGGGAGAGGGGGGGAGGTGCGGGAACGGAAGCGGAGACATCAGGGTGTGAAATAAACAGGGGACATGCACGACGAAAAACCCCAGAGATGTCGACGAGTGACTGGCTGGCTCTGGCGTAGGCTGGGGGCTGATTCGTGTGGAATGGCCAACCTGGGCGCCAACTGATGTCGCCCTGTTGGCGCATATGACAGAACAGTACTCTGTGTGAAGCACCCGGGCTAATGATTGGGCCATTGCATCAGGGGACATCCAATAAGTATTGGATGCCACTATGTTGGCATCCAACAGGTGTTGCGACCTTCCTGGCGTGCCCCTCCCACCTGTGGGTCTGTTGCTTGTGCCAGGATGGCCGCCACCGTGTTGGTGTGGCCCGACAGCGCAAACACCTGGACCTGGGGGGGGGGGGGCAAGGCACAAGGGGGGAAGCGGGTAGAGGGGTCAGCGACACATCCGCGCTGCCACTATTTCAGCAAGGGGCCAGCCCCCGCCTTCTCTTCACGGCCCTGCGTCCCCGCAGCTCCAACGCCCCCAACCCGGAGGGCCCGCGCACCCCCAGCCGCGCAGCGCCCTCCCCGTGAC